CTTAAAACTATATTCAGCAATAATGAAAAGTGAGACAAAATAGGGAGTAAAATTTTGAAAATATGGTATCTAAGAGAAAATAAGCTCAAAATATAAATGCAATTTAGTAAATAAGCTCAAAATATAAATGCAATTTTGTTTCAAAAGTTGCTCGACGTACAAATCTTATGTCTTGGGAACTATGAGCGAACAATTATAGGACCATGTACTCATTTTACCCCGTGAGCTCCGACTTGACTCATGTCTCCGATGGGATAATACAATCAAATCCTTGTTTGTAGATTTAGATTTCATTCTCGTTGTCTTGAACTATCGAGGGTCTTCTGTGCGTAATAGTGAGATCATGGTGAGGAACAACTGTTTCTAGAATAGTCACATCATCCTTACGTATCTTCATAATGTTCCAAAAATCATTCACATTACGATCTCCTCCATCGAAATCTTTGTGTTCACTCTTGGAGACATTCTTTTTAACCAAAGTTACACAAAATAAGTCGTGCTATTTTGGTGCAATTCAATTAAAACCTTTATCTCAACTTCGGAAGTAATCATTACAGGTGGAATTGAAATGAATGTATGCTTGCTAAATAGAAATCCTAATTCCATATTGTATTGAGAAGGATTGACATTTAGCTTGTTTTGTAAATCATGATATATTTTTGCATACGATGTACTCGATCTTATCACAATTATTGTAGCACTATGTTTTCACTCATCCATTTTCACACCCATCTATCATTTTCATTCATTTCAAATTCACCAAAATGAAAAACGGGTACCGCAGCTAATTCCATATCTACATTAGGAAATATAATTTATTAAAAAATATAATTAGAATATAAGAAAGGGGAAGAAAAGTCGTTCGAGCCAACGTTTCTAGTCGATCCAGCAGTCTGGACACATGTGGCTTAGACAGCTGGGTTATCTACTTCAGCCAGCCTAGGTGGCGGGCCGGTTGGTCCCGACTGACAATTTATCTATGTAGATGAAATTTTTCCATTTTTAAGAAATTATAGATTTGTTTAAGATTGTAAAAATTAATCTGCCTATGTAAAAATAAGATTTAACGATTAAAACAATTTACTAATTCAACGAAAATGAAATTAAAAATATGTAAATATACTTTCCGATTCGAAGTGATGGCTAAAAATGATATTTTTTTGCTGAGCGTTTGATAAATTTATGAAATTTCAAGGTTGAAGCAGTTGAAAGGGTAATAATTTTTATCTGTGTTGGAGTAAACAGATAAAAAAATGGCTTCTTTTTGAAATTTTATGTAGAAAGTGTCTGATTTTTACTTTGTATTACTTGTAATTTAAAGGGTATTATTATCTTTTAAACAACACTATATTTTTGTAATGGGTAATTCGCATAAAACGTCCCTACCTTTAAGGTTTATTGTGAAAAACGTCCCCACCTTTCATGTTTGGCATTTTTGCCCTTATTTTCACATCTCTTTGTGAAAAACGTCATTTTCACCATTTTTAATGTAAAATGACTAAAATACCCTCCCATTTAAATAAAACCCAAAAAAAGAAAAGAAAAATAAAGAATAAATTACAATCGTACTCCTAAATATTTTAAAAAATGCAAGTGAGTCCAAATAATTATTAAAAGGCCTAATAGCACAAAACGTCCCTACATTTGGTATATAGTGTGAAAAACGTCCTTACGTTTCAAATTGGTAAAATAGACGTTTTACGCAATGAAAGGTGAAAATAGGGATGAAAACGCAAAAAAATTGAAACGTAGGGACATTTTCTGCAAGAAGTGTCAAATGTAGGGATTTTTTTGCTATTAGGCCTTATTAAAATATTAAAAAAAAAACAATCTCTCTCTTCTCTTCTTCTCTAAATGGGACTGCCACGTTAGAAGTAAAAAAATTTCGACTAATTATCACCCAAACTGTTTAACTTTTATATCGCTGAACTATCTGTTGATATTTTAGGACCATGAAGAGAGGTGGTCTAGTGAGTATAGTCGATTGGTGTGTTGAAAATGACATGGGTCTCTTTGAAACAGGTGATGCCGCCAGTATTTACATTCGCGAGTGGGGTATTTTGGCTTGCAATTTCTAACAAATCTATTGGCATAAATGTTTCAAGATTGGATGTTGAGTGGTATGTGTAGAAGAAAGTGAGGGTTTTTCGATGGTATTGCAGTCCAGCAGTTTGGATGGTGGTTTGCTGGAGTTTTTGGGCTTTTAAGGTGGTTGGCCCATTTGGAGAAGAAGAAAAGAGAGAGGGTTTTTGTTATTTTTAATATTTTAGTAAGGCCTAATAGCAAAAAGCATCCCTACGTTTGACCCTTCTTGCAGAAAAACTTCCCAACTTTTCAATTTTTCGTTTTGCGTTTTTATCCCTATTTCCAGGTTTCATTATGGAAAACATCCCTTTCACCAATTTGAAACATAAGGATATTTTTCACACTATAGACCAAATGTATGGACGTTTTGTGCTATTAGACATTTTAATAATTATTTGGACTCACTTGCACTTTTTAAAACATTTAGGAGTAAGATTGTAATTTATTCTTTATTTTTCTTTTCTTTATTTTTGGGTTATATTTAAATATGAGGGTATTTTAGTCATTTTATATTAAAAAATGGTAAAAATGACGTTTTCTGCAAAGAAATGTGGAAATAAGGGCAAAAATGTCAAAAAATGAAAGGTGTGGATGTTGTCCACAATAAACCTTAAAGGTAGGGGCGTTTTGTGCCAATTACCCTTTTTGTAATTGTATAACTTTCTTAAGGATATATGTGTCTTTTAGTCAATAAAGTGCCATTGTGGTGAATTGTAAATAAAATTGGCTTATGTGGAAAATAGTTATGTTGACATCGCTCAAATGAAAAGTGCCCCCATTTATGTGGACTTGGAATCCACTACAAATTAAGTTTAAACTGACATAAAATTGGGGTATTATTATAAATGACCTGCTACTATTCATTTTTGATAAAATGTCTATTATACCCTTAATGAAATAATTTATCATATATTGCACAAGATATCCTTAATTTATTGGGATAGTTTTAAATTCCTCTATTTCTCTCATTTTGAGTTTTACTATATAATTTCATCCTTTGATCTAATAAATTAGCATAATCTGTAATATAATTGTCATGTAATTTACTAAGATTATCAAATTCCTTCGATAATATATCCATAATCTCTAATTGAGGATAAATATTTTCTATTTTTTCCATTAATCTATCTAACAGATTATCTAATCCTTTAATTGTGTAACCTGGCATTATTCAAATGATTCCTTGCAAACTTTATGAATAATAACATATTTAGATAAGTTTTTTGCAAACATGAACAATAATAATCCCTACAATTCTTTCAAGATATTAGAAGAATTCTTTCTAAATTTAACAAAGACAATAATTTTACCTTACTTTTGATCTTAAATCTGTATTCTTAGAACCGAGTGACCTTCAGGCTCTGAATCTGCAAACTGCTCCCTTAAACGGCATCTTGCCTCAATGGGAATTCTGCTATTTCAGCTTCTTGCCCTCACTGTATCTTTTCTTAGAATTAAGAATAGAGATCTTAAGTAAAGAAAATTCTCTCTTTGTTAAAGTAAGAAAGAGATTATCTTCTTCAATCTATCAAGAATCTATGGGATAGTAAGTTTAGAAACTCATATCTTTCTGATATCAAAAGATTGAGATTTTATTTCTATAATGATTTATACAAGATTTATATTGTATACAAGGGGTTTCCAGAAAAACTGGTTTTGAAAAAAGCTTAAGGAAAGAGAATGGTTTCTAACTCGAGATATCCTCCATTCTTTCCCAAATACCTCTATTTATACATGATTCAAACTCACTATTATTGATCTATTACATCATTGCATACATCAGATTTTTGAAAAAAAAAGGCTCACATGCCTCTCTATTCTTTTCCTCCTGGGGTCTACATTTTCACATGCCTTCTTTAAATTTTCATTAAAGGGACCTCCTTTCTTCTATTATTGCCTTATCATCTTTGGCTCCATATGCAGCTGGCTAGATGCTTCTCTATTATTGCTTCTCCATCTTTGGCTTTATTTGTAGCTGGCTAGATGCTTTGGTAGTGGTAGGTCCTTTTTCATTTATCAATCCTTCAATTTTGTCTACATGTGGGGCACTCCCTCAATCTGCATGATTCTTGGATTGTTGTTGGACTTCCACTAATTTGATGAGTATCAAATTTTAAGATATATTCCTTCAAAATTGTAGATTTTTCTTTTCCATTGTTTGTAAGGAGGGTCCATCCTTCATATTGGCACAAGCATCTGAATTTTTTATCATATAAGTTCTTTGCAATGTTGTAAAGAACTTTCATCCCCAAAACTCTCCGGGATTTTATCCATGATCTATTGATTTTTGGCAATGGTTTATTATTTCGGCCAACTTCAATCTGGAAATCTCGGCCAACATATCCAATTGTAATGATATGTTCAGCAGGATAATATATCCTTCCATCAACTTCGGGACTAATTGAATAAAATTTGATATATATCGATCTCCCTTGGGCAAATTTTGAAACTTCTGCTCTGAATATATCATCAAAAATTTTCAATTTCTTTTAGATCTTTTCCTGGATAAATCAAATCCAGAAATCCATAATCTGCCGCCATTTTGACCATGAAAGGGTCTGCATCTTTGGTAATTA